CTTGGTGGCTGCCAGAGACCTCTGCACCGTTAAGGTGCGAAGCTCGTCTAGTACTATCATCGTAGGTTCTCTCTACCTTCATCCCACTGACCTGCCAAGACGAGAGTTGGCCCTTCAGCAACTGGAGGATGCCCTCTCCGCCCATAGACTGGCAGGGATGCTTTTAGGAGCGGACTGCAATGGAGCCTCAGATCTCTGGGGTTCCTTGCTTCCGGACAACCTACAGGCCCTGAACCACATCGGCTCCAGCTGGCAACGAGGGGAAGAGTTCCAAACGTGCTGCCAGCAACACCGAGGGACCATCATCAACCGGCCAGACTTATTCCCGGCCCCCACCTTCGTGGGTGGAAACGGCTCATCGCACATTGACGTAACGGTCGTCTTCGGCAGAGTTCCCTCACATGAGTGGAGACTCTCTGAGGAATTCTCAGGTAGTGACCATAAGATAATTCGGGTGACCTTGCAGGACACCAAGCACGAGTATCCCAAGCGACCACAGCTGCGACTCACCAATTTTGAGAAGGTTCGAGAAGCAGCACCAGCCATACCCGACAACTCCCCCGCCGCGGCCATTTCAGCAGGTCTCTCAGATGCTGTTGCTGCCAACACCCCCGCTATGGAGGGTCGCGACTCCCCTTCGTGGTGGAGCCGCAAGCTCACGAAGCTGAAACAGAGCCTTAACAAGGCGACCAAGAAGTGGAACAAGGCGAAGAGGGATGGCAACCTCCTCGGAACCGAGCACTGGAAAGAAGAGCTGACTGAGAGAAGGAGACTCTTCAGGTTAGAAGCCCGAGCAGCCAAGAAGAGGGCAAGGGACCGCTTCTATGCGTCCCTCCAAGACTTCTCCAAGTGTATCCGGCCACCGACGGGTAAGTCAGCGGCAGCGATACTGAATGGCGACCCAAGCACCAACCAAGCAGCCCATCTGCTAGAGAAGCTATTCCCTCGGGACCCTAGGCGGTCCCAGGGGATGGCCCAGGTTCGCGTCGGTGTAGGCTCGGCAGATCGCATCCCAGCAGTAACCGAACAGGAGGTCTTGGAAGCCATCGGCCGTCTGAAGATCTCTGCCCCTGGGAGCGACGGCGTCAATGCTGAAGTTTTGAAGAAGACGGCGCCTGAGCTGGCGGCCAAATGGGCCACGGCCTTCACTGACATCCTTAGATCCGGCGAGTTCCCTGCCGAATGGAAGGAGGGCAAATGCATTGCCCTGGCCAAGCCCGGCCGCGACATCTTCCAGCCCTCGGGCTGGCGCCCAATAGTTCTCCTTAGGTGTGCCTCGAAGCTCTTAGAATCCGTGATAGCCGAAAGGCTTATCCACGGCCTAGGGGAGAAGTTCCGAGTGCCAGAGATTCATGGCTTCTGCCGGGGCCGAAGCTGCGACACTGCGCTGAGGAGATCATCGACGCCTACCGAGCTGGCTGCGGG